CAGCTTGATGAGTTGAGCCGTTAATTTTTAAAAAATAGTGATAAGTTTATTACAGAAAAAAGTATAATTATTCCACAACAAACGTAAAACGGGGAAATCACTCTATCTCAAACAACAAACATCAGATTGGCCTGAAAATTTTTCTACAAAGAGAAGTCATTACCAACTGCCTGCTGTAAAAATTTCAGCTTGATGAGTTGTGCCGTTAATTTAAAAAAAATAGTGATATGTTTATTACAGAAAAAAGTATAATTATTCCACAACAAACGTAAAACGGGGAAATCACTCTATCTCAAACAACAAACATCAGATTGGCCTGAAATTTTTTCTACAAGTAGAAGTCATTACCATCTGCCTTCAGAGAAAATTTCAGCTTGATGAGTTGTGCCGTTAATTTTTAAAAAATAGTGATAGGTTTATTACACAAAAAAGTATAATTATTCCACAACAAACATAAAACGGGGAAATCACTCTATCTCAAACAACAAACATCAGATTGGCCTGAAAATTTTTCTACAAAAAGAAGTCATTACCACCTGCCTGCTGTAAAAATTTCAGCTTGATGAGTTGTGCCGTTAATTTTAAAAAAATAGTGATAGGTTTATTACACAAAAAAGTATAATTATTCCACAACAAACGTAAAACGGGGAAATCACTCTATCTCAAACAACAAACATCAGATTGGCCTGAAATTTTTTCTACAAGTAGAAGTCATTACCAACTGTCTTCTGTGAAAATTTCAGCTTGATGAGTTGTGCCGTTAATTTTTAAAAAATAGTGATAGGTTTATTACACAAAAAAGTATAATTATTCCACAACAAACGTAAAACGGGGAAATCACTCTATCTCAAACAACAAACATCAGATTGGCCTGAAATTTTTTCTACAAGTAGAAGTCATTACCATCTGCCTTCAGAGAAAATTTCAGCTTGATGAGTTGTGCCGTTAATTTTTAAAAAATAGTGATAGGTTTATTACACAAAAAAGTATAATTATTCCACAACAAACATAAAACGGGGAAATCACTCTATCTCAAACAACAAACATCAGATTGGCCTGAAAATTTTTCTACAAAAAGAAGTCATTACCACCTGCCTGCTGTAAAAATTTCAGCTTGATGAGTTGTGCCGTTAATTTTAAAAAAATAGTGATAGGTTTATTACACAAAAAAGTATAATTATTCCACAACAAACGTAAAACGGGGAAATCACTCTATCTCAAACAACAAGCATTAGATTGTCCTGAAATTTTTTCTACAAGTAGAGGTCACTACCAACTGCCTTCTGTGAAAATTTCAGCTTGATTTGTTGTGCCGTTAATTAAAAAAAATCGTAATAGATTTATTACACAACAGTAAAACAGGCAAATCGCTCTATCTCTAACCCCAACCTTCAGATTGGCCTGAAATTGTTTCTACAAGTAGAAATTATTGCAAACTCAACCATTATGGAGTAGTCACTACAAAGCGCAAAAAAAAAAAAAAAAAAAAGTTTGGATTCCCTAACACAGACATCAGATTTCAGGTGTTAAGACTCATTGCCGTGTCTCATGGCGAAACTTTGAGCCAGGCTTCCCCTTTTTAATAAGGTAGTTTCTACGCCGATTTTTTTTTCGATTCTAAACCCAATCACCCCGTTTGCAAGCAGGTTGAACGTTACTAAGAACAACCAACAATCCGAGATGGTTTTTAATGTCCTATATGAAGACTGCTTTTCTTTTGTTAAAAATCTTCAATTATTTTTTTCCACAACAAAAGTAAACCGGGGAAATCACTCTATCTCTAACCCCAACCGTCAGATTGGCCTGAAATTTTTTCTACAAGTAGATGTCATTACCAACTGCCTTCTATAAAAATTTCAGCTTGATAAGTTGTGCCATTAATTTTTAAAAAATAGTGATAAGTTTATTACACCAAAAAAGTATAATTATTCCACAACAAACGTAAAACGGGGAAATCACTCTATCTCAAACAACAAACATCAGATTGGCCTGAAATTTTTTCTACAAGTAGAAGTCATGACCAACTGCCTGCTGTACAAATTTCAGCTTGATGAGTTGTGCCGTTAATTTTAAAAAAATAGTGATAAGTTTATTACAGAAAAAAGTATAATTATTCCACAACAAACGTAAAACGGGGAAATCACTCTATCTCAAACAACAAACATCAGATTGGCCTGAAATTTTTTCTACAAGTAGATGTCATTACCATCTGCCTTCAGAGAAAATTTCAGCTTGATGAGTTGTGCCGTTAATTTTAAAAAAATAGTGATAGGTTTATTACACAAAAAAGTATAATTATTCCACAACAAACGTTAAACGGGGAAATCACTCTATCTCAAACAACAAACATCAGATTGGCCTGAAATTTTTTCTACAAGTAGAAGTAATTACCATCTGCCTTCTGTGGAAATTTCAGCTTGATGAGATGTGCCGTTAATTTTTAAAAAATAGTGATAGGTTTATTACACAAAAAAGTATAATTATTCCACAACAAACGTAAAACGGGGAAATCACTCTATCTCAAACAACAAACATCAGATTGGCCTGAAATTTTTTCTACAAGTAGAAGTCATTACCAACTGTCTTCTGTGAAAATTTCAGCTTGATGAGTTGTGCCGTTAATTTTTAAAAAATAGTGATAGGTTTATTACACAAAAAAGTATAATTATTCCACAAAAAACGTAAAACGGGGAAATCACTCTATCTCAAACAACAAGCATTAGATTGTCCTGAAATTTTTTCTACAAGTAGAGGTCACTACCAACTGCCTTCTGTGAAAATTTCAGCTTGATTTGTTGTGCCGTTAATTTTTAAAAAATAGTGATAGGTTTATTACACAAAAAAGTATAATTATTCCACAAAAAACGTAAAACGGGGAAATCACTCTATCTCAAACAACAAGCATTAGATTGTCCTGAATTTTTTTCTACAAGTAGAGGTCACTACCAACTGCCTTCTGTGAAAATTTCAGCTTGATAAGTTGTGCCATTAATTTAAAAAAATAGTGATAAGTTTATTACACAAAAAAGTATAATTATTCCACAACAAACGTAAAACGGGGAAATCACTCTATCTCAAACAACAAACATCAGATTGGCCTGAAATTTTTTTCTACAAGTAGAAGTCATTACCATCTGCCTTCTGTGGAAATTTCAGCTTGATGAGATGTGCCGTTAATTTTTAAAAAATAGTGATAGGTTTATTACACAAAAAAGTATAATTATTCCACAACAAACGTAAAACGGGGAAATCACTCTATCTCAAACAACAAACATCAGATTGGCCTGAAATTTTTTCTACAAAGAGAAGTCATTACCAACTGTCTTCTGTGAAAATTTCAGCTTGATGAGTTGTGCCGTTAATTTTTAAAAAATAGTGATAGGTTTATTACACAAAAAAGTATAATTATTCCACAATAAACGTTAAACGGGGAAATCACTCTATCTCAAACAACAAGCATTAGATTGTCCTGAAATTTTTTCTACAAGTAGAGGTCACTACCAACTGCCTTCTGTGAAAATTTCAGCTTGATTTGTTGTGCCGTTAATTAAAAAAAATCGTAATAGATTTATTACACAACAGTAAAACAGGCAAATCGCTCTATCTCTAACCCCAACCTTCAGATTGGCCTGAAATTGTTTCTACAAGTAGAAATTATTGCAAACTCAACCATTATGGAGTAGTCACTACAAAGCGCAAAAAAAAAAAAAAAAAAAAAAGTTTGGATTCCCTAACACAGACATCAGATTTCAGGTGTTAAGACTCATTGCCGTGTCACATGGGGAAACTTTGAGCCAGGCTTCCCCTTTTTAATAAGGTAGTTTCTACGCCGATTTTTTTTTTCGATTCTAAACCCAATCACCCCGTTTGCAAGCAGGTTGAACGTTACTAAGAAGAACCAACAATCCGAGATGGTTTTTAATGTCCTATATGAAGTCTGCTTTTCTTTTGTTAAAAATCTTCAATTAATTTTTTCCACAACAAAAGTAAACCGGGGAAATCACTCTATCTCTAACCCCAACCGTCAGATTGGCCTGAAATTTTTTCTACAAGTAGATGTCATTACCATCTGCCTTCTATAAAAATTTCAGCTTTATAAGTTGTGCCATTAATTTTTAAAAAATAGTGATAAGTTTATTACACAAAAAAGTATAATTATTCCACAACAAACGTAAAACGGGGAAATCACTCTATCTCAAACAACAAACATCAGATTGGCCTGAAAATTTTTCTACAAAGAGAAGTCATTACCAACTGCCTGCTGTGAAAATTTCAGCTTGATGAGATGTGCCGTTAATTTAAAAAAAATAGTGATAAGTTTATTACAGAAAAAAGTATAATTATTCCACAACAAACGTAAAACGGGGAAATCACTCTATCTCAAACAACAAACATAAGATTGGCCTGAAATTTTTTCTACAAGTAGAAGTCATTACCATCTGCCTTCAGAGAAAATTTCAGCTTGATGAGTTGTGCCGTTAATTTTTAAAAAATAGTGATAGGTTTATTACACAAAAAAGTATAATTATTCCACAACAAACGTTAAACGGGGAAATCACTCTATCTCAAACAACAAACATCAGATTGGCCTGAAATTTTTTCTACAAGTAGAAGTCATTACCAACTGTCTTCTGTGAAAATTTCAGCTTGATGAGTTGAGCCGTTAATTTTTAAAAAATAGTGATAGGTTTATTACACAAAAAAGTATAATTATTCCACAAAAAACGTAAAACGGGGAAATCACTCTATCTCAAACAACAAGCATTAGATTGTCCTGAAATTTTTTCTACAAGTAGAGGTCACTACCAACTGCCTTCTGTGAAAATTTCAGCTTGATTTGTTGTGCCGTTAATTAAAAAAAAATCGTAATAGATTTATAACACAACAGTAAAACAGGCAAATCGCTCTATCTCTAACCCCAACCTTCAGATTGGCCTGAAATTGTTTCTACAAGTAGAAATTATTGCAAACTCAACCATTATGGAGTAGTCACTACAAAGCGCACAAAAAAAAAAAAAAAAAAAAAAAAAAAAAAAAAAAAAAAAAAAAAAAAAAAAATAAAAAAAAAAAATTAAAAAAAAGTTTGGATTCCCTAACACAGACATCAGATTTCAGGTGTTAAGACTCATTGCCGTGTCTCATGGGGAAACTTTGAGCCAGGCTTCCCCTTTTTAATAAGGTAGTTTCTACGCCGATTTTTTTTTCGATTCTAAACCCAATCACCCCGTTTGCAAGCAGGTTGAACGTTACTAAGAACAACCAACAATCCGAGATGGTTTTTAATGTCCTATATGAAGACTGCTTTTCTTTTGTTAAAAATCTTCAATTAATTTTTTCCACAACAAAAGTAAACCGGGGAAATCACTCTATCTCTAACCCCAACCGTCAGATTGGCCTGAAATTTTTTCTACAAGTAGATGTCATTACCATCTGCCTTCTATAAAAATTTCAGCTTGATAAGTTGTGCCATTAATTTTTAAAAAATAGTGATAAGTTTATTACACAAAAAAGTATAATTATTCCACAACAAACGTAAAACGGGGAAATCACTCTATCTCAAACAACAAACATCAGATTGGCCTGAAAAATTTTCTACAAAGAGAAGTCATTACCAACTGCCTGCTGTAAAAATTTCAGCTTGATGAGTTGTGCCGTTAATTTTAAAAAAATAGTGATAAGTTTATTACAGAAAAAAGTATAATTATTCCACAACAAACGTAAAACGGGGAAATCACTCTATCTCAAACAACAAACATCAGATTGGCCTGAAATTTTTTCTACAAGTAGATGTCATTACCATCTGCCTTCAGAGAAAATTTCAGCTTGATGAGTTGTGCCGTTAATTTTTAAAAAATAGTGATAGGTTTATTACACAAAAAAGTATAATTATTCCACAACAAACGTTAAACGGGGAAATCACTCTATCTCAAACAACAAACATCAGATTGGCCTGAAATTTTTTCTACAAGTAGAAGTAATTACCATCTGCCTTCTGTGGAAATTTCAGCTTGATGAGATGTGCCGTTAATTTTTAAAAAATAGTGATAGGTTTATTACACAAAAAAGTATAATTATTCCACAAAAAACGTAAAACGGGGAAATCACTCTATCTCAAACAACAAACATCAGATTGGCCTGAAATTTTTTCTACAAGTAGAAGTAACTACCATCTGCCTTCAGAGAAAATTTCAGCTTGATGAGTTGTGCCGTTAATTTTTAAAAAATAGTGATAGGTTTATTACACAAAAAAGTATAATTATTCCACAACAAACGTAAAACGGGGAAATCACTCTATCTCAAACAACAAACATCAGATTGGCCTGAAATTTTTTCTACAAGTAGAAGTCATTACCAACTGTCTTCTGTGAAAATTTCAGCTTGATGAGTTGAGCCGTTAATTTTTAAAAAATAGTGATAAGTTTATTACAGAAAAAAGTATAATTATTCCACAACAAACGTAAAACGGGGAAATCACTCTATCTCAAACAACAAACATCAGATTGGCCTGAAAATTTTTCTACAAAGAGAAGTCATTACCAACTGCCTGCTGTAAAAATTTCAGCTTGATGAGTTGTGCCGTTAATTTAAAAAAAATAGTGATATGTTTATTACAGAAAAAAGTATAATTATTCCACAACAAACGTAAAACGGGGAAATCACTCTATCTCAAACAACAAACATCAGATTGGCCTGAAATTTTTTCTACAAGTAGAAGTAACTACCATCTGCCTTCAGAGAAAATTTCAGCTTGATGAGTTGTGCCGTTAATTTTTAAAAAATAGTGATAGGTTTATTACACAAAAAAGTATAATTATTCCACAACAAACGTTAAACGGGGAAATCACTCTATCTCAAACAACAAACATCAGATTGGCCTGAAATTTTTTCTACAAGTAGAAGTCATTACCATCTGCCTTCTGTGGAAATTTCAGCTTGATGAGATGTGCCGTTAATTTTTAAAAAATAGTGATAGGTTTATTACACAAAAAAGTATAATTATTCCACAAAAAACGTAAAACGGGGAAATCACTCTATCTCAAACAACAAACATCAGATTGGCCTGAAATTTTTTCTACAAGTAGAAGTCATTACCAACTGTCTTCTGTGGAAATTTCAGCTTGATGAGTTGAGCCGTTAATTTTTAAAAAATAGTGATAAGTTTATTACAGAAAAAAGTATAATTATTCCACAACAAACGTAAAACGGGGAAATCACTCTATCTCAAACAACAAACATCAGATTGGCCTGAAAATTTTTCTACAAAGAGAAGTCATTACCAACTGCCTGCTGTAAAAATTTCAGCTTGATGAGTTGTGCCGTTAATTTTTAAAAAATAGTGATATGTTTATTACAGAAAAAAGTATAATTATTCCACAACAAACGTAAAACGGGGAAATCACTCTATCTCAAACAACAAACATCAGATTGGCCTGAAATTTTTTCTACAAGTAGAAGTCATTACCATCTGCCTTCAGAGAAAATTTCAGCTTGATGAGTTGTGCCGTTAATTTTTAAAAAATAGTGATAGGTTTATTACACAAAAAAGTATAATTATTCCACAACAAACGTTAAACGGGGAAATCACTCTATCTCAAACAACAAACATCAGATTGGCCTGAAATTTTTTCTACAAGTAGAAGTAACTACCATCTGCCTTCAGAGAAAATTTCAGCTTGATGAGTTGTGCCGTTAATTTTTAAAAAATAGTGATAGGTTTATTACACAAAAAAGTATAATTATTCCACAACAAACGTTAAACGGGGAAATCACTCTATCTCAAACAACAAACATCAGATTGGCCTGAAATTTTTTCTACAAGTAGAAGTAACTACCATCTGCCTTCAGAGAAAATTTCAGCTTGATGAGTTGTGCCGTTAATTTTTAAAAAATAGTGATAGGTTTATTACACAAAAAAGTATAATTATTCCACAACAAACGTTAAACGGGGAAATCACTCTATCTCAAACAACAAACATCAGATTGGCCTGAAATTTTTTCTACAAGTAGAAGTAACTACCATCTGCGTTCAGAGAAAATTTCAGCTTGATGAGTTGTGCCGTTAGTTTTTAAAAAATAGTGATAGGTTTATTACACAAAAAAGTATAATTATTCCACAACAAACGTTAAACGGGGAAATCACTCTATCTCAAACAACAAACATCAGATTGGCCTGAAATTTTTTCTACAAGTAGAAGTAACTACCATCTGCCTTCAGAGAAAATTTCAGCTTGATGAGTTGTGCCGTTAATTTTTTAAAAATAGTGATAGGTTTATTACACAAAAAAGTATAATTATTCCACAACAAACGTTAAACGGGGAAATCACTCTATCTCAAACAACAAACATCAGATTGGCCTGAAATTTTTTCTACAAGTAGAAGTCATTACCATCTGCCTTCTGTGGAAATTTCAGCTTGATGAGATGTGCCGTTAATTTTTAAAAAATAGTGATAGGTTTATTACACAAAAAAGTATAATTATTCCACAAAAAACGTAAAACGGGGAAATCACTCTATCTCAAACAACAAACATCAGATTGGCCTGAAATTTTTTCTACAAGTAGAAGTCATTACCAACTGTCTTCTGTGGAAATTTCAGCTTGATGAGTTGAGCCGTTAATTTTTAAAAAATAGTGATAAGTTTATTACAGAAAAAAGTATAATTATTCCACAACAAACGTAAAACGGGGAAATCACTCTATCTCAAACAACAAACATCAGATTGGCCTGAAAATTTTTCTACAAAGAGAAGTCATTACCAACTGCCTGCTGTAAAAATTTCAGCTTGATGAGTTGTGCCGTTAATTTAAAAAAAATAGTGATATGTTTATTACAGAAAAAAGTATAATTATTCCACAACAAACGTAAAACGGGGAAATCACTCTATCTCAAACAACAAACATCAGATTGGCCTGAAATTTTTTCTACAAGTAGAAGTCATTACCATCTGCCTTCAGAGAAAATTTCAGCTTGATGAGTTGTGCCGTTAATTTTTAAAAAATAGTGATAGGTTTATTACACAAAAAAGTATAATTATTCCACAACAAACGTTAAACGGGGAAATCACTCTATCTCAAACAACAAACATCAGATTGGCCTGAAATTTTTTCTACAAGTAGAAGTAATAACCATCTGCCTTCTGTGGAAATTTCAGCTTGATGAGTTGTGCCGTTAATTTTTAAAAAATAGTGATAAGTTTATTACAGAAAAAAGTATAATTATTCCACAACAAACGTAAAACGGGGAAATCACTCTATCTCAAACAACAAACATCAGATTGGCCTGAAAATTTTTCTACAAAGAGAAGTCATTACCAACTGCCTGCTGTAAAAATTTCAGCTTGATGAGTTGTGCCGTTAATTTTAAAAAAATAGTGATAAGTTTATTACAGAAAAAAGTATAATTATTCCACAACAAACGTAAAACGGGGAAATCACTCTATCTCAAACAACAAACATCAGATTGGCCTGAAATTTTTTTCTACAAGTAGAAGTCATTACCATCTGCCTTCAGAGAAAATTTCAGCTTGATGAGTTGTGCCGTTAATTTTTAAAAAATAGTGATAGGTTTATTACACAAAAAAGTATAATTATTCCACAACAAACGTTAAACGGGGAAATCACTCTATCTCAAACAACAAACATCAGATTGGCCTGAAATTTTTTCTACAAGTAGAAGTCATTACCATCTGCCTTCTGTGGAAATTTCAGCTTGATGAGATGTGCCGTTAATTTTTAAAAAATAGTGATAGGTTTATTACACAAAAAAGTATAATTATTCCACAAAAAACGTAAAACGGGGAAATCACTCTATCTCAAACAACAAGCATTAGATTGTCCTGAAATTTTTTCTACAAGTAGAGGTCACTACCAACTGCCTTCTGTGAAAATTTCAGCTTGATTTGTTGTGCCGTTAATTAAAAAAAATCGTAATAGATTTATTACACAACAGTAAAACAGGCAAATCGCTCTATCTCTAACCCCAACCTTCAGATTGGCCTGAAATTGTTTCTACAAGTAGAAATTATTGCAAACTCAACCATTATGGAGTAGTCACTACAAAGCGCAAAAAAAAAAAAAAAAA